GTAAAGCTTGCTGTAACAGTTTAAGGCAATGAAATCCAGCTCGGAAAAAACCCCATTTCAATCCCTCCCCCTCTAATTTTTTTTTTTTTTTTTTTTTGCTGTCTTCAAGGGGTTTTATTCTTTGCAGTGCCCTCAAATACACCTTTCCAGCTAAAGACACAATCATGTGGACAGCTCTTTGTTTTGTTTTTCCTTCCAACCAATGCTTTTGTGTATTTCTGAAACTTAAGACACCTCCTCTGCTACTACAGTACTTATCTGTAACACCATCGCTTTGAGGGATTAAAGCAGGTTACTTGTTACACACTTAGATCAAGAGTTATCTGAGTAGAAAGTCTATCCCGTTAGGGTTGGCGGAATCTGTTTTTGATCTTGAGTTGTTTTGATTTTCTCTGAGAGCAAGTAACATGTTATTTTAACTTCTGAATAAGGTGTGCTACCTGACTGTGTCTCTTCTGTTTGGCAGAAAGGATTAGAAACCTCCACGGAACTTGCACTCTATTAAAGCAGAGTGCTCACCATTGAGAACCAAGGAGCTGAATTGTTTTCAGATTATATGTGTGTGTGTGTCTTTCCCACATCAAAGACTTTGATCGAAGCTGTTCACGCTATTGTCAGGAATGCAGGGATTGGCACAAAGGTGATTAGCAAAACTGCTTTTCTGCAGGAGAAGCACAAAAATTATCAAAAGATTAAAGAGGATAAAATTAAAAGGTTATGCTGAATTTGGGGGTAAATTTTCTCCTTTTTATCCCAAATTATACATATTGATTTGGTTTTACCTATAAAAGGTCTGCCAGAAGAAATCAGGATTAGAAGCTATTTGGAATGGGTTCTGTTAAAGGGCGAGGAAAAACCTTCCCTTAAAAATAATCCCAACAGACCCTATTCTGTGTGCTTCCAAACCACATCTACAAGGAGCTTTTAATGAGTACTAAGGGCACCCAGCCGGCAGACATCCTTACAAGGTTCTCAGCAGCCACAGGATCGGGACCTTTAGTCATAATTATGCTGAAAATTATGAAAACAAACACTTCCATAAATCAGTTTGTCATTAGCGATGCTGTTTGTTTACTTTTCTCACTACACTCTGCTGACAAAGATACTAAACTGAGGGGATCACTTTCATTATCCACTTGCTAGGCACATGCAATGCTTTTGTATTTTGATCAGCAGCTGAGCTGCTTGAATGGTTTGGAAAAAAAGGCAATAAAAATGGATTCTCAAATATTTTAGTCTATCAAAATGAACAGCCGAGACTTCCAGAAGCTCTCTTGCTTGGCAAAACTGCAGTGCAGTAAAAAAAAATGTATCACCTCCCATAGCCAGCAGAATTGTCTCATCTTGCTAGTTCAGACTCTGTTTATTGTTCATTTTATTTTGAACAGTCCTCTATTATTTGCTAAGTACCAGCCATATACCTATTTCTTGTCTCTGAATTTTGAGTTTTGTTTGTTTGTTTTACTAATCTGTTATTTTCTGGAAGTCACCCAGAATATTTTATTTGTTTTTAACCTCATTTATCAAAGTATTATCTAAAGCATCTGTTCAGAAAATGTTCATTTTAACTGTTTTCCCAACAATGGCCTTCTTCCTCCCCCCCAGGCCACATCAAGTTGTCACTCACCAGACAGCTGTGGAATTTGGAATCATTCCTTTTAAACGCTTTACAATTCCAAATGGTAGATTTCTAATGGCACAATATGATTGCCACAAAGATCTTTAAATTTCCCAATCCTCCAGGCTTCAAAGGCTGGACCGTCCTTGATCTCCTGAAGGAATGCTTTTGAATCTTGTTCTTTTATAGGGGCTACCTATGAAGATATTTTAGGGGCTTTTTCCTTTCATACTTAAAGCCTGAGGAACTAAACATTCAAATATCCACTGGCTTCTTTGAGAGTAAGATCAAGACTTACAAAGTTGTTTCTAGAGATTTTCAGCTCAGTTTTCATTAATTCCACGGGTTGTTCCAAAACTTTTTGGAGTGTTTATAAAGCCATGTAGGAGTATCCTCGGTGTAGTGGTGATAGTGTTTCATCCTGCATCTGCCTTCCACCTACATGGCTGCTTCGTGCAGTTCTCGCCTGCCGTGAGCGAATCTGGCAGTGTCCTGACTCATCATGTGCCCGTGGGTATGGAGGGGTCCCTTGCTCTTGGAGGATGCTCCACTGTCATATCACTTACAAGGTGATAATTTGCTCAAGGGAAGTGAGCAAACCTCATCCTACAAGCAGTTTTGGGTCTGCCTTGACCAGGCAACCAAGACAGAGCCTAATTACCTGCGACAATTACAAATTTGCAGAATTACTAGAGTTCCAGGCTTCCTTCTCTCTTCCCCTACAGCCAGAGGCAACATTTCACTAGTAGTCCTTTCTTGCACAGTAGGATTTCTCAGTCAGGAGGCTGCCATTTTTCATTTCTCGCTGGCTAATTCTGTTTTATCTTATGACTGAAACACAGAATTCATCAATCTG